TGGGGTGTAGCATAGCAGCAGATGGGAGTCGGGGAAAGTTTATGATCAAAATGTATTGTGAAAAAACATTGAGAAAAGGTGAGTGTTGCCAGATAAGGAATTAAAGCTGGGGTACCTGACTTTCAAACCACAAAACATAGATTTTATTGCCTTTGTGAACACAGCGGGGTGGCTGCGGCTGTGTCGATGTGTCCTGTACGTTACCACATTGCCAAGAATTAGTATGGTGTGTGTGTGTGTGAATAGTTGGTGGTGGTAGGAGGGGCCGATGGCAAATACTAGTTGCCTCACTTCTGTCAGTGTGCCCCAGGGCAGATGTGGCTATAGTAGTAGTTTATTACCACAGTGTATGGAGTGAATTCGAAGTGTGAAAACCGATTTTACATTATTATTACGAAAACATAACCAGGATGAACCGAAACCCCTGTCTAATACTTCTCCTTCTTCTTCCTAGTCTCTTTCTGCACAAGACAGATGGCTGGGCGCGGATCTAATTCTGGACCGGGTCGAACCGTAGCATTCGTCTGTGTGAGGAATGAGGTGCCGCGGGCGCAGATGGAAAGGGTTCTGGGGGAGGACAGAGAGGGAACGATGACATATTCCTCTGTCTCCGCTTTATTAATGCAAAGATGTCGGAGCAGTTTGTTTGACTGCTCCAAGTGAGGCGTCCATCACTGAGATAATCCGCCAGCTGCTGTTGCCGGCATTTGTCAAGAGTACAGCAGGAATACTGATACATACAAGATCACCAAGTATATGTTTTACTCACAGACTGTATATAGATGGTCAGCACTAGATCATATACGGAATCGGGACGGAAGCGGAAGTAAATATAACAGACTACCTATTAATGCCTAAACTTAACCAGCCATTCCCATAAAATAACCCCAACCCAGCCTTAACCCTAACCTTAACCATCTTACTCAGACGCCTAAAACTTAACCAGTCACCATTTAAGGACTTATTAGTCTAAAAATAATTCGTAAGTAGGAGTGTCACTTCCGGTTTCGTCCCGATTCCGTATATGATCTAGTGCCGACCGTATATAGATGGACAATGCTAACCTGCTAGCTCAATGAAGTAGCTCTGGCTTCTACTGACTTACATGTGAAAGTAAACTCACCATTTTGGACTTAAACATCTGTGGTTTGTCGCTCTCTATGGTCCTGGCTGTTAATAATGTGATATTGTCTTTGTAAATCCAGATATGAGCCAAACAAGGATTGACCAATCAGATGCCTTGTTGTGGCTGTAATGTTGGAGTACAAGTAGTAGTAGTAGCAGGCCTTGAAGTAGAAATAGTGAAAGTAGTGTAGTAGTAGCGGTGGTTTTTAATATTAGTAGTAGTATTAGGGCTAGTAGTAGTAGTAGTGTAGTATTAGTAAGTAAGTAATTAATCTTTATTTATATACTGCCTTTCACAGACCAGAGTCTCAAAGCGGTTTACAATTTTCATTTTGGGCATTTGTCTCTCACTCCACACAGAGATAGGAGCAGGGTCGCCAGTACAGGAGGTGCATGCCAGACCTATTGTACATGTTTTAGCGTTAGGGGAAATCGGAGTACCCGGAGGAAACCTACGCAGACACGGGCAGAACATGCAAACTCCATGGCCCTGTTCCGACTGGGATTCAAAGTCAGGACCTTCTTGCTGAGAAGCGAGAGTGCTATCCACTCAGCCACTGTGCCGCCCAAGTAGTATTAGTAGTAGTAGTAGTTGTAGTTGTAGTAGTAGAAGTAGTATTGGTCACTAAAATTAACATTAATAGTATTGGTAAATAAGTAATTTAGTAGTAGTAATAGTAGCGATATTGTTAAATAATGTAGTAGTAGTGGAAGTAATATAGTAGTTGTAGTATTAGTCCTAGTACTAGTAGTAGTAGTATTTGTAGTCATAGTAGTAGTAATATAAATAGTAGTAACAGTAGTAGTAGAAGTAGTAGCAGTAGTTGTGATCTGATTTGTTCAACATTTTACATTTACAAAACTCTTCTGTCGGAACAAAAAACATTACGATATATAAAACTCATGACCCCCAACTTTAACGCAATAATATTTCCTTTGGTTTCATTATGTACTTGTCCCTTGGTCTTGTGATACTTTTGACAACCTTCTACCGGTAGTTCACAAAGTCCCAATAATTGCTTTTGCTCGGCCTCGTCACTGTCACTCCGTTTAAGAAGCCCAGATCCAGATGGCGTCCAGATCCAACTTACAATCTCCCTCATGAATACAACCTAAACTAAATTCCACCTAAAAAAAAATACCCTCCCAAACTGGCGCCCGCTCTGCCTGCTTTAAGCACGTTCCAGACGCAGAATACCGACATGTCACCCGTTTTAACAGTTAAATTATAAGATGTTTACAGTTCCTCTCGGCAATTTATCTTCCTCAGCGCGTTTGTCAGCGAGTGCTTTCACATGCCAAAAAACCAAGGAGGGGGGAAAAGAAGTAGGGTTTTGTTTCTTTCAACTCGCAGTAAATTAGCCATCACTGTGAAAAGCCCAGCCGCCAAACCATTAATCATCGGACTCAAAGCAAGACAACAAAGTCCGGAGGATGACAGGATTCCAATATGGCCGCCGTCGCTGGTGTGGTAAATTACAGGGCCCCAGGAAAGACAGGGGTCCAACGTTTTCTGGATCAACCGGTCCATAATGTAGTGGTTTTGTAGTGGTGGTAAAAGTAGTATAAGTGGAAGTAGTGTCGCAGTAGTTGGAGTAGTAGTAGAAGTAGTTGGAGTAGTAGTAGAAGTAGTTGGAGTAGTAGTAGCAGCCCTTGTAGGACTATTAGCAGTATTAGTACCATAGTTATTTTCTTGTTTAGTTTAGCACTTTAAGTTGTCATGTGTATATACAGTGCTATACAAATAAGCTTGCCTTGCCATGTTATTATAATTCATATTTCCTTCAGCAATTGGAGATATTACAATGAATTTACTTTTGTCTGTTGTTCCCTGAGTTTTTCCTCCTGTTTTGTTAGAGTCACTTTTAACTGATCTAAAAGTTATGTGATGCTATTTCTTTCTGTAGATTGTTCAAGTTGAAGTTTATATTTCATCATTGGCTTTTCTGATAACAGACAGACTCCAACAATGAATCCAGGTTCTTTCCAACGGTCACCATGAGGGTGTAAGTAACGCGGTCTGAACTTTGCAAAAATAAATGTTGTGGAATGATTGAAGAGCTCAGAGCGGCTAATGACCGGAGCTTCCTCTTTGAGCATATTTTAACAGTAGTTTTTGGTAACAGTGAGTGGGAACAGCCCTGATTGGATTACAAACACACCGACCAAACATTATAATGAGGTGAGAGTGATGTGTTCAACAGATGTGGGGAAAAAAACCACTTCAGTTTTACGGTAGCACTCGCTGAATCAACCAAAAAAGTGTTTTGTTTTCCACCAGATTTATTAAAAGTAAGTGAGTTAAATGTTTTGTATTTGCCTTCAATCGTTTTCAATAAGTGTTGAAACTGTGGAATACAACTTTAAACTCAGCAAAAACAGTTTGTTGATAGGCTAATGCTAAACGCTAATGCTAACTGTTGCAAATGAACATTGGTGTTGCTATGGTAACCGGCTCTTTTCTGGTGGAAAACCAAACTGGATATGAACCAGAACCAGTCCAGGACCAGTCTAGAACCAGTCCAAGTCCAGTCCAGGAGTTAAAGGTAAAATTACTCACATTTCAAAAATTAAAAGTTATTTCTATAAAAGATATTGACATATAGCGACAGAAAAAACAACATTAAGTTTGGAAGCCTGACTACCACAGTAAGTAAGTCAGGTTTTTTACCATGTTAGAACATCATTCCTCATCAAAGACGGACCTGGAGTCCGTCCGCACTGATATTCATGATCCATGAACTCTTCAAATTCAGAGCTGTTGTATGTCTAAAAATATTGCTTTCAATTTGCGTTCTTTATAATCGTCCTCTACAGCTTCATAGTAGCAGAAACAACAGCAGTAGTAGTACAGTATTAGCAGTAGTAGTAGCAGTAGCATTAGCCACAGGAGCACTAGTAATACCAGTAGTAGTTATGTAATCGTAATGTTTCAGCCTTTAGTTCATTTTTGATCCAAGTGGGAGAGATGATGATCATTAACTAAACACTGCTATTACAGACTGGACAGAAACATTTACATTTTTTCAGAGAAATTGTCTGTAACAGAAGCTGCCAACAAACAAAAATACTAGTATTTGGTCTGCCTATCTGATTTACACAATAAATATAGAATAATAAGTATAAATAAGAGATAGAGCCTTTATCTTGTTGAATGAATGTTTGAACAGTAAAATAGTTATTTTTCTTGTGTTTGAATTTGATGACATCACCAGTGTCACTCAACGTTGCTACTTCTTTTCTATTTAGACTGAAAAATAATAGAAATATTTATCAGAGCTTCTGTTGTATAAATAAATAGTGTCTTTACCAGTGAAAGAACAGAAAGATGATATGCAGTTTTATATGATTGTTTATGTTATTATCTATTTAGTATCTAGTATTTTGGTTTAGTCACGTTAGTGTTTTTGTAGTTCCAGCTTTCCCCATTGGGAGGCGCTGTCTGCCCATGGAGTAGCAGTCACTCCAGTCAATCCTGATGCTATACTTATGTTGTGACTTATGACAGAAAACAGCTGTATCTGTACAAGCTGAAATAACACTGTGTAAAACCCTTTCTTTGTAAATCCTAAATCCTTGTGATGATGGAAAAATATTAAACTATCCCAAACCCAGCAGGAGCATGAGCTTCATGAAACACATTTCTGAAGAAGGGAAAAAGATGAAGTGAAAACATTCGGTTTGATGTAAATTTTACTCGTGTTTGAAATGATACATTTACAATAAGTTCTTAAATAAGAAAAGTTTCTTTAGTCTCAGTGAACAAAGAGCAGCTGATCCTCACTGCTGCACAATCTCCAGAATAAACTTAAATAACTTTATTAAAATACAATCTGATAAATCCAGCTCTGTGGGTCATGTGACAGTAATCCGTGTTATTGGTATAGCGCAGGCGTCAGTCTCTGTCCAAACAGGTAGGGGGAGGGGGGGTAGTAGTGCGGAGCAGAGGGCATGTGCATGGCGCCAGGTGCACTGGGCAGGTTCTTGTACGGATGGTACCGAGACAGTCCGAGCGGCGGCGCTCTGAGCGCAGAGGCGCCGGGCGCGTGCATGTGGCAGGAGGCCGCCATGGCCGCCGCTACGGCCAGCGAGGAGCCGTTACTGTGGTAACCGTGCATGAGTTTGTCTGCGCTGAGCGCGGTGTGCGTCCGCAGGTGCGCCAGCAGCTCCTCTGACGAGCTGAAGCGCTTGTCGCAGGCGCCGTTGGCTGACACCCAGTTACAAGCGTGTGGCGGCGGCTCGCTGGGCACCAGGCCGTACGAGTACAGGGCGTGTCCCGGGAACGAGTGCGCCGAGTGCAGCTGCGCAGGAGGCGCGTACATCAGCGGGTACGCGCTCTTCAGAGACTCGCAGCCGGTCATCCCCGAACAGTGGAAGCCCAGACAGAAGGGGTCCCGGCACAGACCGGGGGGAGAGGCCCCGGCCAAGGGGCTGCTGCCCTTCACTCCCCCCAGAGAGAACTGGCCCAGACTGGAGCCTTTGTCCAGGCTCATGCCGTGTGAGAGGAAGGACTGCGGGTAACCGTACGGGTATGACACGCCCGCGGGCAGTGGGAACACGTGACCGGGGCCCGGTTTGTACGGAGACACGGGTGCTACCAGCCCCAGCCCCGAGCTGCAGGACACCGGGGGCGTGGGCGCGGGGGCCGGTTTACAGTCCTCAGTCCTGGGTACTGACTCTGGTCGCTCCTCCTTCTTCTCCTCTTTGTCTTTGACGTCACTTGGCGCAGGTGACGTAGACGTGACGGAGCTGGGGCTGCTGGTGCGCGGGGTGAAGGGCTGGCACGTGGCGCTGGGCACTCGGAAGCTCCTGTCCGCACTGACGCTGACCGCCTCCTTCTTGTCTGTTTTGTAAGGTTTAAAACTGGACTTGTCCTCTGAGCCCAGGTCGCTCATCTTCAGCGGAGCTTTGGTCTCTTTGTCCCCGGAGCCAGAGCCCGATCCCCCGGAGGAGGAGAGTTTGGAGGCGGAGGGAGGGTCTGGTTTGCCGATCTGAGAGCAGGTCTGCGCCAGCAGCGCCAGAGGACTCTTCTTGGCGTCCAGCTGCGGAAGAACAAACACAACATTTAACTCATTATAATCATTACGTATGAACACGTCACGAGTCATCAACACTGTGTTCTAGAACTTGACGCGGTGAGATGAAGCGCAGTGACATTTGTGCCAAACGTGCCTCACGCACAGAGACCGTTACGCACCGTGCGCACAGCCGCTTTAACACCGCGTCATGAACGAACCGAGAGACTGAATGTGACGTGAGCGGTGACTGCGCCAGGCTGCGGGACAAATGTGCCCAGAAACGCGTAAAACGGTCCACTCCGGCATCAGACAAACTAACGAGGCGTGTATGGATCCGCCGTTTGTGAGAAGCACTCATTTCTACTTTATGAACCACTTCAAGCGCAGAAAAGCTGCCACGATTTTAATGTTTTCTCAGACCCCTCATTATTCCGAGTTATGTCGCAAAGTAGATCTAAATGCCTTACAATCGTGCGTAAAACTGTCATATTACTTATTACATTTCCACATAAGAAAACAGGGGGACAGCTGTGGATTTGAAAATTGGAAGAAAATCCAACGTTTGTTGTAAATGGTTCGGACAGCGCTGTTATCTCTGTGTGGTGGTATCTCTTTGGTCTCTCTCTGGTCTCTCCCCGGTCTCTGACGGAGCTGTTATCTCGAGGAGACCGGGCCTTCGCTGTTCCTGCTCCCAAACTGTGAAATCATTCTAAAATCTAGTTTTTCTAATCTAATCTAAACACACATTGATGCCTTGGCTTTTACCTGTATTTGTGTGTCATATGTCACACTGTTTTGTATTCTTTCCTCCCAGCTGGTGTTGTCATAAATATGCTATACAACATAGACATTGACTAAAAAACATAATAATTCCAACTATCACATAAAAGGAACATAAATGTAATATTGAACTCTCATAAAGGCGCTGTTTCAACCCACAACATCCGTGCGTAAAGACGCTTAACTCCCAGCGCATCCTAGTCCCATCTTTCCCCGTGATTTGCCTCACCTCTATGGGGCTGATGGGAGTGGAAGGCAGGGGCTGGAGGTAGTCCGGGTGGAGGATGTGTCCCCCTCTGGCAGCGAGCATTTTGAGCACTTTTATGGGCAGTCGCTTTTCTTGTCGCTCTGGATCCCACGGAGAGACGCACGGGCGAAGCGAGGCACCAGCGACTCCACCACCACCACCGCTCCTCCTCCTCCACACACTGCCGGGGTTACTGCTGAGGCTAGACACCGCTGGGGACGCGCTCATGACCCGCGGAGGAGATGGAGAGAGCGAAATGGGGCATCACATCAACTGCAAAATGTACCCGAAAAAATCGAGAGAGGAAAGGGGGTGAAGACAAAACAAAAATTCAATTATAGTTGTACATCCAAAAGCGAAAACAGAGATCCAGTGTTATTCCTTCATGCCCATCTGAGAAGTCTGGGGAGGTTCAAAAGTCTCACACACCGCTCGCTGGTGTAGTTGTAGTCCTATGGCTTCAAATCCTAGCTCCAGACTGGTGAGAAATGCAGTGGCCGTGGCTCTCTGTTCGCATCTACAGACACAGCGGAGCAGAGTGGAGCTATCATATGCAAGGGGCGTGATTAAAACACGCATGCGCACTGGGGAGCACAGCGGTCGCGCGTCCTCTCCAAGACAACAGTGAGTTTGAACCATGTCGGTGGACTGGGCAGATTTTAACACACCCACAGTTATGAAACTACTAGAACTCTCAGGCTGCTCCCATTCAAAGCAATGGAAGTCTGAGAAATTACACCCAAATATGATTTCAGAAGAAAGTAATGCATAAGGTTTTATTTTATTTTTTGCCTTTACTTACTTTTACTTAGTGCTAAAATAGTTAGCCAAAACGCGAAATTATAGGGACAAAATGCTAACACCTGTTATTCACATTTCACAACAATACTGATGGAAATTAACTACATATAGAAAAACAGAAAAAGTCACAAATGAGTAATTACACTTCTAAATATAAAAGCCGTCAATTTGACTGCTCCGGGAATGACCTTTAGAAGGGTCTAAGCATGAGTTACGAGTATAAATGAGGCGCAAGGAGTTCATTCTGATTTAATTAAACTGGTTCCAAAAGCAAAGCGACTGGGGAAATGTTATTATTGTTAAGGATTTCAGATTTATTCAGCTAAAATCTGGAATTGTCTTCCTGAAAATGTGAGACAGGCTTTTTTTTTATTTAATTGGATACTTGTTATGGGTGTAGCATTTCCACCACACAAGCTAACTTTGTAAAGGGCCATATCCATTTACATTTAATTGAATTGAACAAATTATCCCCTATCACTCTTATAGGTGTATTTTTTCCACCTTTAGTCTCATTGTCCTAAATCCAGACCTTCCCGGCTTCTTTCTGGCTGATTCAAACCTCCGCTAACCTCTCTCCTTTTTGTTCAAAGACATTTGTAAAGCACTTCTTTGTCTTGGGCATTAATCATTAACCCTGGTCCATTCCTCTCTCTGAAAAGGCCCCACTTATCTTATTACTCAAGCGCTTTTAAACGACTTGCTGATCGGGCAAAAGTTTAACATATGCAAGTGTTTTTTGATGGATAGCTCTGCTGCTGTTTTCGGCACCGGCTTGTCACTTTTCGACGGCGCGGTTTGAGTTATTGTGGCAGCGAAGGGCGACCATAAATTCCAAAGCGTCAGACGAGAGAACCTTCTTTGTGGCCGTGATGGATGATCCGCCGCGGCACCAGACCAGAATCCAACATCCAGCTCTGTTTGTGAGCAAGGCAGAAGCAGAGGGCTGGGCTCTGTGGTCGGTGACTCGGTGTAATGCCTTTGTTTGGAAACAGAGAGGCGAAATCTGCAGCTTCTGGGTCAAGGAAAGGGCACAAGAGTAATTGCAGTACTTTCTGGACTATAAGGCGCACCTGTGCATAAGCCGCACCAGCAAGAGTTTACAAGAAAGTACATTTTGTCCACATACAGGCCACGCTTTGATATAAGCCGCAGGTTTTCATGTAGTAATGTTGCAGTGAGAAGACTGTTTCAACTGGTCACACCATGATTTAATGATGAGGTGTTTATTAGCCTAGTTGCTAGCTTCCACCACTCATTCACCTTCATCTGTTTTGATAAAAAACACATGTCCTATAGATACTAAAACTTTGAGTCCATAAGCTCTGTTCTGACAAGAGTTCAACTCTACCACAATTAAAATACATATATTAGCAGCGTCGCTATGTAAACCGCAGGGGTCAGAGAAGTAGAAAAAAGTGGCTTATAGTCCACAAATTATGGTAAGTAGGTTTAGAGCGTCTTTCACAGACGGAGGTCACAAAAACGCTTGAAATTATTAAAACTGGTAACATTCCATTCTCTCCACATGGTGATGTATGAAGTGACGTGCCGAATATTAGTACTATATGTTCACTCACACATTACATTCAGAGCTATTGTACATGGCAGGGGAAACCTACACAGACACGGGCAGAACATGCAAATTCTGTACAGAAATGCCTGGAGGTGAAATTGGGCCTCCTCTAGTCCTGGTTTCCTCTGGTCCTGATTGGTCATCTCTAGTCCTGGTTTCCTCTGGCCCTGGTCTCCTTTAATCCTGGTCTCAAGTAGTACCGGTCTCCGTACTCTTGGGCTCCTCTAGTCCTGCTCTCCTCTGGTCCTGGTCTCCTCTGGTCCTGATCGGTCTTCTCTAGTGCTGGTTTCCTCTGGCCCTGGTCTCCTTTAGTCCTGGTCTCTGCACTCTTGGTCTCCTCTGGTCCTGGTGTCCTCTGGTCCTGGCCTCCTCTGGTCCTGGTCTCCTCTAGTCCTGGAGGATTGTTTCTTTTCTGACCCAAAATATACATTTACTGTAGCTACATGGGACATTCAATTTGATACAATTCAATATATTTCTAAAAGATACAATTCAGTAAAATCGTCTGGAATATACTGGCGGAGCTGAAGTTGGCTGGATGACACTGTGATCTTATGTTTATGATCCGGACTTGGTTTTAGCACGCCACAGAGAAGCAGCTTTAATAGAGACTGTCTTCTTAACATAGCCTTCAGTCAGTTCTGTTCCAAACCAATAAATATGACGGCGTGTATTAAGTAGCGGTCTTTAATCCCGATGACAGAGAACGGTGAAGCGTGATCCATTTGTTTAATGAAAGATGAATAAAACAGGACGCATTAAACACGTCTGCGTTACACACACTGTCACAATAAGAGCTTTGGTCATTGTTCATTCAGACACTTCAATATTTAATCTGACCACGGTCTCTGCTCGCTCTGCTGAACCCGACGCTAGGAGAGAGAGAGAGACTGGGGCAGCACCAGGGTCTACAAGCATCAGGGTCTACAGGCACCAGGGTCTACAAGCATCAGGGTCTACAGGCACCAGGGTCTACAAGCATCAGGGTCTACAGGCACCAGGGTCTTTGGTCATTGTTCATTCAGACACTTCAATATTTAATCTGACCACGGTCTCTGCTCGCTCTGCTGAACCCGATGGTAGGAGAGAGAGAGAGTCTGAACCGGGACAGCACTAGGGTCTACAGGCACCAGGGTCGACAGGCATAAGGGTCTTTGGTCAATTTCATATTTAATCTGACCACAGTCTGTCAGAGTCTCTGCTGAACCCAGGCTGTGGTAGGGAGCGAGAGACCGGGACTGCACCACGGTCTAGACTAGAGACACCAGGGCACCATTTCCACCATCCCTACTTGGCTCTACTCTAACCCTATTGGGAACGTTTCTACAGGCCCGGTCCTGTCTACCCAGATCTAGGTCCTTTTAGTGGCTGAGAGGTTAGCACTCACGCTTCTCAGCAAGAAGGTCCTGGGTTCGAATCCCGGTCGGAACAAGGTCTTTCTGAGTGGAGTTCTTTTGTTCTCCTTGAGTGTGCATAGGTTTCCTCCAGGTGCTACGGTATCCCATCCATCCATTTTCTTCCCCTTAATCCATTTCTGGGTCGGGGGGGTGGCAGTCAGGGCTGCACCCAGTACACATAGCACCAGCCCCTCACTGATCCTCCTGCAGGTGGTGAGTCCACAGGGGCCTTGATCTTGCAGCGGGGGCTTCAGGCAAAGTGGGGTTAAGTGTCTTGACCAAGGACACAATGACAGTAGTCATCAGTGGGAGTCGTGAAGTAGGTTTCGTGGTGGATTTGAACCTACGACCCTCAGGCCCAAAGGCCGATGCTCTACCAACTGAGCTACTGTCGCCCACTCCGGTATACCCTTCCACTAAAATCATGAGCAATAGGTCTGGCATGCGCCTCTTGTATGGCGACCCGCTCCCATCTCTGTTTAAGATTACTAACTTATTTCATACTACCTGTTTGGTTCTGGTTCTATTCAGACCGAGCTGGTACTAGAGTGTTCTGACAGTCCTGCTTTTTTTAAAACAGTGATTTTTGCAGATATCTAGTTTTTTATGAATCCGATCAGAATATACTGTATGTGAGACTTGGCCTTAACCATTTCTTTTTTACTTAGAGCTTGAATAAACCAGCGTGTGCATTTGCGGTTACTCCTTTTAAGTCCATTTAAATTAAAGAACCATAATCTCATCGTCAACTTTTCACATAGCGACGACGGCAGTTACGCTTCCGCCGGTGATATATATACGAAAGCCGACAAAATCACAGGAATATGTAGCTTTTCATTTCAAAAAGAGAGTTTCGTTCCCTTTGCTCAGAAGACGTGGGTTTTATGCTCTGATTGACAACGATAAAAAATCTCTTGTTATAGTAATAAATGTTAAATACAGCGTGTCAAAAGTCTGTGGGCAAATGAACAGTTTTAACGACGCCATTTGTGCGCGTGAGAAGCGACGCTGTGGTGATTAAACACGACTTCAAATTGAGTAAATGTTGAAATGTATGTGTTTCATTGTGGTGGGTTTCTCAGAGTCATGTGACCGAATCAAAACAAAATATTACATCTTTTTCATGGGAAGAAAATGTATTCTGGGGACTGTGTGTGTTTGTTTGTGTGTGTGTGGGTACGTGTGTCAGTGTGTCACTATGTATGTGTGTATGGGTGGGGTGTGTGTGTGTGTGTTTCTGTCTGTCTGACTGTGTCCCTGTCTGTGTGTCTCTGTGTGTGTCTGTCTTCTGTGTGTGTGTGTGTGTCTTCTTTACGTCTCTCGAGTATTTGTGTGTCTTCTGTCTATCTGTCTCTCGTGTGTGTGTCTTCCATTCGTCTCTCATTTGTGTGTGTGTCTTCTGTCTGTCTCTCGTGTGTGTGTGTCTGTCTGTCTCTCATGTGTGTGTGTGTCTT